ATATAATGTCATCTCCTAAAATAAATCAAAACTCAACATAATAGGCCCAAGAATATCTACTAATCAAAGTAGAAGGACAATTATTTCACATTACCTCATTTTCCTCCTCTTTTAAATGTGCCCTCTCACTCTTTATTTGCCTTCCTCTTTGTTTTTCCATTTGTTCTTCCATCTCTCTCTCTCAACTTTGTATCTCACATCTCTCCCCCTTTTTACCTTCATATTTTTTCTCATTGCCGGGAATCGAGAGAAACCTAGAAACAACCCAATTGCTTCTCCAATTTTGCGTTTGAAATGCTTCTTCACCATTCATAATCGATAGTGTGAATCAGAGCACCTGAAACCTGGCAAATAGATGGTCGCTTATTCATCGACGGAGCAAAATAGTTTGATAGCTTGTGAATAAACTAATTATTAAAAGTGATAAAAAGCATAACTCGTTAAATCAATCGAGTAAGTGTATAGTTAGTTTATTGCTTAAAGCCTTAAACCATTGTATTTATATAAAGAATCAAAATGCATAATCAGGTTCATCTTCACTTTACATGTATTTGTCGTACAAATTCACTAAACATAAAAAATGGTTTTGAACCGACGCCATATCAAACTAAATCTCTTCTTATGATTATTGGATCCATGTCAGATTAGCAAAATGTCTAAAGCTATTGGTCAACCGAGCTGAAAATTTAAACTAATTTAAGAATTATATATCGTTTCCAAAATGTTCAATACTCCAATTCAATATGCAATATTCAATATTCAAACAAATTATATATGAATTTCAACCCTTTCTCAATTTTTTAGACAAAAAAAAAATCACCCCGCCCCCTCACACACATTTGCAAAGAAATACTAAATCACAATTTCTTCTTCACTTTACTTGCTTCTAAAGCTATTGTTTATGTTGTTTGTTATTACTGCAAGCTATAAAAAAATTCAGCTATTAAGTTAATCAAGAATGAATTTATAAATGAATTTAGTTGTATACATTGAAAAAGATTTGAGTCTCAAAATAAACAATGAATGTATTTTATAAATCTTTTAGAACATGAGCCGTCACACCTTAATGTGAGAAACTACTCATTAATTCAAATTTTACATGTTATTTTTAGAATATTTTGTTTTATTTTTATCAAATGACACATTTCTCCGTAAAACATGAGTTCACCGATATAGACTGTGTGGTGTTCGAACTTGTGTGCGAGTCCTTGAAGTTTAAGTCTGGTACGACCTATGAAGCATTCATGCTTGTACATGGCCGATCCATATACGTTGTCTTCATGGTTAGATCGACCATGTGCCTAGGTATAGTTATATGCATTGTAATAATTAAGTTTTACCTGTTTACAACACCAAGATAAATACAGTCATAAATGCATCCAGTATTCGATTTTGACTATCTAATGAAATACTACGTTTGAATAAACTACAATGGATGTCACAAATAATAATTATACCTCAAAATCATACATAAAATATTTCAAACATCACAAATATTAAGATTAAATTAATTATTATAAAGAGTTAAAATTGTATAATGAGGTTAATTATAACTCATTTATATGTTAATGCCCTATAAATTGATTAACGTTTAGTAGTTAACCAGACTAAATTACAGAACCAGTCACCTATAGTTTGTACAAAATATTATTGTTTCATATTAGTTCTGAAAATTCATATTAATTTATAAAATTCTACATCACTTTTGCATATTCAATACTGTAGTTTGATATGCAATATTTCAAACACTGAAATTTGTGATGCAATTTTAAGATTACCCGTCATTTTATAGGTTATAAAAATTATAAATCACGTATTAAACTTTGATTTTCAGAAGATTTAATAGGCTAGCTAACCGTGAAAAGTCCTCTGCTTTTCAAATCTTTGCTTACTGCATGTTTACAATCTATAAAGATAAAATAAATTTGTTTAGTGTAATTGGTTGTGATTATTATTTTTGTTTGAAGAGACCATGACTCAAATCTTGATATTGATACTTTGTCATATGAAGTTGATAATAATTGTGATGACAAAAATACTCTTCCTACTTTCACTCTAGCTTCACGAAATTTGAAATAGCAAATCTTAAAACATTGAATATATCTTATAGAAAGAGCTTCTTCAACCAAGTAAGAAATGCATTTTACCTGAAATTATTATATCTTATAGAAAGGGATAATAGTGAAATCGGAACTCAAGTAACATTGATTCAATCATTAAATAATAAATTATATGTGTGGTTCAGTTTAGAAAAAATACATGTGTGTAGTCAAAACATTGATCTTTGTGACAAATATAATAATTTTTTGTCACAAATCTATACATAATATAAAGATATATTGGGCACTATGACGAAAAAGAGTTTTCTAGAATCACTCTCAGACCACGAAATTTGAAATGAGACTCTCATTTTCCAATTTTATCATTATATTATGTGTAGATTTGTCACAAAAAATGATTATACTCATCACAAAGGTCCATGTTTTGATTACACATCTGTATTTTATCTGAACTAAATAACACATACAATTTAATATTAATGTTTGAATAATACTACTTGAGCTCCGATTTCAGAATTAATATCTTTCTATAAAATATAAATAACTTAAGATAAAATATAAATATACAATTTAATATTAATGTTTGAATCAATACTACTTGAGCTTCAATTTCATAATTAATATCTTTCTACTCACAAAAAAATGATTATACTCATCACAAAGGTCCATATTTTGATTACACACCTGTATTTTATCTAAACTAAATAACACATACAATTTAATATTAATGTTTGAATCAATACTACTTGAGCTCCGATTTCAGAATTAATATCTTCCTATAAAATATAAATAACTTAAGATAAAATATAAATATAGAAACATAATCACCAAACATATTCCTAGAGTTCAATCAAAGAAATAACAATAAATAAAATATAGCCTAGTTGGTTATAATGCTCTTTCTTCATTAAAGTGACCAATGTTTGAACTCCAATGATAACATCTTTAATATATAAACATGAACTAAGTGCAATGACAAAAATGACATTCCTAGAATCACTCTCAGGCCATGCAATTTAAAATTTTAGAATTCCAACTCATGTTTTGTCTTTATGTATCTTGTAGAAGATAACCATATAAGAAAGTAAATTAAATTCTGTATTATGACTAAGTTAATCTTCGTAATAAATTAAAGAGCATTCATATTAATTATGCTTAATTTTCCAAATCGACCTTGACAATAGATAAATCATATGTAACTTTTTTTTATCAAGGTCAGTAAGTCACCCATCATAAAAATAATAATAAATAGACACTACCATTTTTTTCCCCTTTTGGTTTGTATATGACAAACCTCGTAACTTGAAAACATTTTACAATCCAAGTTTCGGTTACAATGCCATCCGCAATTAGGGAAAGTGACATTAGCTATGTATAATCAAATAACCAATAATCACAAGCAAACAAGACACAATCATACTTCCTCCTACTTATCATCTGAGTCGCACCAATTAGCATCGAACCCATCATATCTCTGTACATTGAGAATATACATACCCATCATTGTTTCCTCCTCCAACCTCATAACTTAATCCAAAAGTCATCCTTTTGGTTAGCACCAAATATTATGAAATGAGCAAACACCTAGGCAAGAGATGAATGCACTCAATTTAAGCATGTCCAAAGAGAATTCAAACACATAAATTAAAAAAGGTAAGAGTCAAAATCTTGCACAATCATCTATAGAGGTAGTCAAAGTGGTAAGGTATAAGTTAGGGGTGGCTATTTGGTCCAGACTTTTTGGTTTTACTTGAAACTGGATTATATAATCTGGATTGAGACCGGACCGGGACCGGATAGCAAACAATCCAATCACATCTTTGGGTTTAGATTTGAGGTAAAAAATTGTTCGGGACCGGACCGAAAACCGAATAAAGACTGAATAAGAGAGCTCAACACCCAAAATTTAACCAACTCCCCACCTTTTCAGGCCTCATGCCACTCAAATATCCATAAGCTCAATCTAAAATCAAGACCAAATTGGGACCGGACCGGATGAAAGACTGGACTATATCCAATACAATCTTTGATCCTTATATATGTGAAAAGACCGGACCAGAACCGGATCAATTCAGACCAATTTAACAAGACCAGACTTTATAGCCACCCCTAGTATAAGCATTGATGCTAAGTGTTTGTAGTTTGATTCCTACAACTAGCCAAAACTCCGAAGTTTTGGTGGCTCCTAGGCAAGAGATGAATGCGCTCAAATCAAGTTTCGATTATAGTCGACGGGTTTTGGATGAAAATTTTAATAAAAGGATATATTTGATAATTTTTCTAAATTAAGAACAAAGCATATATTATGTGAAATAGTAAATAAACATGTTTAACAAAAATAAAAAGTAAAAATGATATTATATCTTGATAAAAAGAAACCAACAGTCAGACACCAAGTTTGTCAAACCGGATTAAACCAGTTTAGCAAGTATGGTTTGAGGTTTGAGGGGTCGAATGATCATATTCAACTAGTTTAAGCCCATTTTAACAGAATAGGTGAGAAAATCTTTGATATAAAATAAATTATGTTTATATTTGACATATTATAAACAATCTCACTAAAATACATGCATATATTACCTAATTATTTCTTTTAAAAAAATAAATTACTGGATAATCAATCTTCCTCTTCAAACCAAATCACACCAGCTAATTTTGGCTGGTTTAATCTAGTGTGGACTTCTTTCATGAACCATCAAAATAGGATGCATTCCAACCACGCTAAAAGGGTCATTTTCGAACGAACCAGATCGGACCCATCGTCCGAATAACGGTTTGACAACCTTGCTAGACATACAAGAGAAGGGCGAGTAGAATGATTTGTCCACATGCATAGCTCAGCTCCTTTTCTCTTCCTAGCCTTTTTGTGAATCCTCAAACTAGCTAGCTAGGTAGCTAAGATTTTATATATATATATATCCTCCCTAACCAAACCAAGCAAACGACATGCACATATCATAGCGTTACACTTCCCGGAGACCCAACCTACCAACCATTCATGATAAAAATCACACCATCAAAAGAAAACAAACCACAGAATCCAATCCATCTTCTCGCCAAATCATGCCTCGAAACTCGAGCTTCCCTATACAAATAACATCCACCACCACCACAGCTACTCGCAGTGTTGATGATCATCGGCACAAGAGCGGCCGCAGCAGCAGAATCAAACAACAACAGCAAAAGTTTCCTCGTCGTCATCGCAGGCCGAGTTTCGACGACGACGTCGTTTCGTCATCCTCAAACCTATCGGCGATGAAGATATTCAACCGGTTCCGGAAACTTCTCGTCCGTCTCCTCTTCTCCGTCGGCGGGAAGAAAGGGGGCGACAATTATCCGGCGGCGGCGGCGGCTGGAGAGAGGGCTGACCCGCCCAAGACCTCTTGTAGCTCCTATTACTCGACCCAGCTGCATTACAGCGAGGCCATTGCCGACTGCATCGAGTTCTTGAATAAGGCTGCTGGTTCGCCCGATGGGCCGGCGGCCGGTTCGATCCAACACGGTCCGCACCCTGATGTTTGGGTTTGATTCCATGTATTATCGTCACAATGATCAGCTGGGATCATGTTTTGTTGTTTGGCTTGAGAAATTTGTTTTTTCCAAAGATTGTTTTTCCTTCTCGTGTTTGTTTTGGCTTTATGGCGCGTCTATGAATCTGCATCTACACATATCTACGCCAAACTACGATTTATCAAAAACTTCCTATTCGAATGCAATTGCCTAACCAAAGTTCATCTCCAATGTAAAAAAGTTTGAATCAATCCGATGGGTAGTCCTATATGGAGATATTCGAGAGCATCCACCAAATTCTAAGTTCGAGCTAACAATTAACGAGGGAAAAAAATCCTTAATCCGCAAAGAGAGGAAATATACCGAATCGAAATAAAAATAAATGAATGACCTCATAGCCTCAGGACCAGGCTGCCAACGCTCCTCCTCATATCACCTTCTTCTTCTTCTGCTTCAGCTTGCCTAATAATCTCCCCTTCGCCACGTTCCAACTCAAGAAGCCTCAGCATGATATCGGAATCAATATGGCAGCCATGCACATTATCTTTACGGGCACCGAGTTGGAACTGGCCAGTCGGCATGTTCCAGACCGTCGTCACCTCCGCAGGTTCGTCACTGTCAGAATAGAAGCGTGCAATCAATAATCCAAACCAACACGAACGAACACAAATTTAACGTGGTTCACTAACACAATGTGTGCTAGCTAATCCACGGGCAGAGGTGACAAATTTCACTAATTTGAGGAGAGTACAGGTTACAAACCAAATTCCGAACGGACAAACCAAACAAACTAACCTAACTGGCCTTACTACAGACTAGGGTGATGAAGAGTATTTATAGGACTCTTCTCATAATCCCAAACAGAAAACCAAATACCTTTTCCCAAACATACAAGGAAAAGGTCAAACCCAAACCCAATCACAGACCCAAACAGAATAGGCCTAAAACACAAAACAAAACCAATCAAATTCAAGTCGTATTCTAACAATCTCCACCTTGACTTGAATTCTCTCTCAAATACCAGATGTACCAGACGCAACCAAAGTTGCCAGATGTACCAAACGCAACCAAAGTTGCCAGATGTACCCAGACGCGATACATATCGCCAGACGTATCCAAATGCGATCGAAACCGCCAAACTCAAACGCAATCAAGATTGCCAGACATCCAAATGCGATTCATATCGCCAGACCAAACGCGATGCAAATCGCCAAACTCAGATGCAATCAAAATTGTAAGACGTACCAAACTTCTCCAAATCAGCTGTACCAGAATCTCCCCTGCCTCCAGATGCCCCTAAGGGCGGTCAACAACTCAAACCATTCGGCAAGTCCAACCCATGCCGTGACTTGCCATTCAAAACCAGTTTGGTGCACTTATCACCAACAAAACCTGTCAAAACAGAACCTTGTAGATTATACAAGGCACACCGCTTGACACCTTTCAAAATCACCTTAGAACCCTTGTAGACAGACAACACTCCACCTTCACCTTTGAAGCTGAAACCCTTGCTGTCGAGTAGACTCAAAGATATCAGATTCTTAGTCATTTCTGGAATATGCCTAACATTGTTCAAGGTGCGAACAGAACCATCATGTGTCCTCATCCTGATGGAGCCTCTTCCAACAATCTTACAGATAGCACCATTGGCCATAGAAACATGTCCTCCATCTATATGCTCATAAGTTGAAAAACACTCCCTGCTTGGACACATATGATAATCAGCTGCTGTATCTAAATACCACACATCCTGGTGATGTATCTGTTCATTCACTGCTAAGGCTAAACCATCTTCAGAATCAGAGTTAGTTTCTTCCGCCACAGCAGCAGATGATTCCTTCTTCTCCTGATATTTCTTCAATTTAGGACAATCAAATTTCCAATGTCCTTTCTCCTTGCAGTAATGACAGATATCATCCTTCAAACCAGCAGAAATCGAATTTGTATTCGCCTTCCAATTACCAGATTGTTGTCTCCTACTACTCGTAGCAGCCAACCCAGATGCCTGATTTTCCGAACCTGAACCAGATGCCTTATGTCGAACCTCTCTAGTATGTAGAGCAGATCTGACATCTTCCAAAGACAAACTATCTTTCCCAGCAATAAAAGAATCCACAAAATTCTCATATGACTGTGGCAAAGATACTAACAGAATTAAGGCAGCATCCCCATCATCTATTTTAACATCAATATTCCGCAGATCTAGCAAGATAGTATTCAGTTGATCTAGATGATTCCTGAGAGACGTACCTTCCTCCATACGCAAACTGAACAAACGTTGCTTCATATGCAACTTGTTGGTTAAAGACTTTGTCATGTATAGACTTTCAAGCTTCAACCACAAACCCGCAGCAGTATTCTCAGCATCAACCTCAGTGATGATGTCATCAGCCAAACAAAGCAAGATTGTAGAGTGAGCTTTCTCCTCCAAAGTAATCCACTCTTCTTCATCTATGCTTTTCTTCTTCGATTTTTCAGACAACGGAGCCCACAAACCTTGTTGTTTCAACAGTGCTTGCATCTTGATCTGCCACAAACTGAAACTGTTTCTTCCGGTAAACTTCTCAATCTTCATACTGATAGCAGCCATTCTTACTATAAAAAAAACTCCAACCAAACTCCACAAAGCAAAACTTCAGTCCAGCGCCAAATTCCCAAAACCGCAACCAAAGGCTCTGATACCACTTGTCATAACGGGGCTTGCTCAATTAGTACGATATTGTCCGCTTTGGGCCGAGCCCGCACGGTTTTACTCTTGGGTTTCCTCCCCCAAAAGACCTCGTACTAATGAGATTGGTAGACACTAATATACAAGGTTTCCTTCCCTTGTATAACCGATGTGGTACTTGGATTGTCCCATAACAATCCTCCCCTCAAGCCAAGGACCACGAACATCGTGTCCTCACCTCAGCGATTATCTTGATCCGCCAGATGCCTTCTATCGATGGGCTTCTCGATACAAGGACTTTACCAGACGCATAACTCTCTTTGATCTGCTTCCCAAATGCGGAACTCTCTTTGATCCGCCAAGCCCAAACGTGGATCTCTCCTGGAACCACCAAACCAGATGCAGATCTCAAACCCCGAGGTCACCGAGCGAGGGTCCACCGAGCTGACGTCCACCGCCCCGGATCTGCCAAACCAGGCTCTGATACCACTTGTCAGAATAGAAGCGTGCAATCAATAATCCAAACCAACACGAACGAACACAAATTTAACGTGGTTCACTAACACAATGTGTGCTAGCTAATCCACGGGCAGGGGGGACAAATTTCACTAATTTGAGGAGAGTACAGGTTACAAACCAAATTCCGAACGGACAAACCAAACAAACTAACCTGACTGACCTTACTACAGACTAGGGTGATGAAGAGTATTTATAGGACTCTTCTCATAATCCCAAACAGAAAACCAAATACCTTTTCCCAAACATACAAGGAAAAGGTCAAACCCAAACCCAATCACAGACCCAAACAGAATAGGCCTAAAACACAAAACAAAACCAATCAAATTCAAGTCATATTCTAACAGTCACATAGTGGCATCGGCATCGCAACATTCAATCTGTATCCATCTGCCTTCATCTTCATCTCCCTCACTCGCTGCAGCTGCTCATAGGCACACCCATCTTCCTGCCGTCGTTGCCCGTCCCGACCACGAAGGGCTTGTCCGCGAACACGGACTTCACGTTGCAGAACTGTGCGGCCTGCTGCCTCACGTCGTCCGACAGGTCCAGAAAGAACAGGACACAGGCGCACCGGAGACGCGCCAGGGCAGATGTCGTCGTCAGGTCGATCGACGCCACCGTATTTATCACCTAGTAGTACCTCGCCACGCGAGCCACACAGAAAGCGTGCCAGTACTCGATATGATCAACACAGCGATATTCACATTCACTCCGGCCCCCCATACTACGGGCCATCTGCCGCATGAACGACCTCTTCCCGTCGTTGGGGGAGCCGATGAGCACCATCGTCGGGGCGTCGGGGTCGATCGAGGGGAGCCCCGCCATGTGCCGCCTCGTCTCCTCGAGATACGCCAGGCTCGGGCCGAGCCTCCTGACCACGGTGCACATCCGTCTCACGGCGGAAACGCACAACGACCTGCACGTGCGAAGCGGCGTGGGAGCGCCAACTCTGCAGTACTCCGTCACGAACTTGAGGTGCTCCTCGGATATGTCGGCGATGAGGAGCCTGGCGTTGTTTATGCTGGGCGAGGGCGACGTCGTAGCGATCCTCAGCGCGGAGGAGGCCGACGTAGAGAGGGTGGATGCAGTCCAGGCGGGGGAACTCGTGTACGATTTTGGAGAGCTTGCTGCTGAAATATAGGTGTGCGTGCTTCACCTTTCGGACGTAGGACTGGCGGAGGAGGAGGGAAGGAGGGAGCGATTCCGTGTGGAGGAAGGTAGGTTCCGGCGTTGTTGTTCGGAGAAAAAGTTGTCGAGCAGGTCTTTCTCATTGGGGACGGCAGCGATCTTCTTGAAGACGTTGGGTTCAACAACCATTGGGAGAGCTTTGCCGGTCATCTGTAGAATGGGTAGATAGTATTTGAATTAACAAGCGCATCAACAAAGAAATTTATTGAATTCTTATTGCTAAAATAGAACGTGTAATGATAATAATGCCCTAGCTAGCTAGGGCGTTAATCAGATAGATATTAACAAAGAATCAAAAGATACTTAAATGCAACCAGATCAGATGGATAGCATGCAAATTAGTTAATTAAGCAAAGAGATTTTCGATAACCTGTAACGATTAATACGTACAGACAAGCACTATGTGCAGAGGAATCTGCTTTGCTTTGTATATATATAGAGAGAGAGAGGAACTTACCTTTGATGGAGAAACTAAACGTACGCTAGCGGCAGCTGTTTCCTCTTCTCTAGGGTTTAAGAGATTAGGAAGGAGCAAGCCGGACTTGTATTGTATATATGCAGTTTGTTTTAGGGTTTGCAGCCCGCCGACTTATTTTGTTAATTCGGCCTGCCCGCCTTCAGTTATATATATCCGGCGAATTTTACTATTAGGGTTCATTATTTTAATTTTGTGCATACGTAGAAGTTAAGTGGGAATAGAAAACTTAGGCTAGCTAAGGACTTGTTGGGCCCAAACTAGCAAGCACCGTCTCCGATGTGGGTAAGAAGAAGGGAAAGCGGAAAAACCCTAGGACAACGAAACCGCCGCTAATTATAACGACGCCGTCAGCGGTATTGATCGGATCTCGAAACTCCCCGTCGAAATCATCCACACCATCCTCAACCTCCTCGACTCCCCAAAGGAAGTGGCGAGAGCCTCCGCGCTGTCCAAAAAATGGCGCAACCACATCTGTCCCTCTTTCTCATTCATTGAGTTCCGCCAATCCGACTTCGGCGACTATTCCGCAAGAGTGCACAACTTCCGCCGCTTCGCCGCCGTCGCCAGGAAGAGGATGCCAATACGCGCCGCGCTCAGGATTTTGCTCTCAGGCTACAGTCATTAGTCATTACTTTCCTCCACCCGCGTGGGCCGAATTCGGATGGCAGCTCGAGATCTCTCTCTAGTTGGACGGCACGTACGGGAGTTCATTGATTTTGCCACGAGGCATGTTTTCAAAGCGCTGCCGCAGCATGCGAGTTCTCCGGGTCAAGGGTTTCGATTTCGAGAGAATTCCTAATAAGGTATTGTCGTGTCATCACTCCACCACGACCTTCGAGTGCTCTCGCTCGAGGAGGTGCGCATTCAGGAGAGCGTTTTCGTTACCCAGCTCGCAAATGCAACTCGTCTCGAGTCATTGAGTTTGAACCTGCTCACCGGAATCCAAAAGCTGGAGGTCAGTCTCCCCAACTTGAAAACCCTTTGCATCAAATTAATTCCCTAAATAAAAGTAATTCCCATAATACATAACTTTTATAAAAATTTCCCAAACTACCAAAGTTTGACGCAGTTCGGGTTTAATAAACTCGAACTAGTGCAGGATCGATTGCCAAGTCATCGATCCACGTGCATCGAGCGAAAGGGCCACGATTGGCTGGCACATGACGACGTAGATCGAGGTTATTAAACTCGACTTAGGTAGATCGAGGACAAGAGACTCGAACTCACAGACCTTGATCGATGACATAAGCAGCGCTCCACCCTAGTTCGAGTTACTAGGAAACGATCTAGGTCGTTCGATGGCCATATCAGCGAAGCAGTGGTGACGTGGATCGAGTGGGCGGAACGCGATGAAGGTCGATTGAGTCTTTGGAAATCGATCTACTAGACGCGGATCTATGACGTCAGACACGCTCTACCGTTGATCGAGTACTCCAAACTCGATATGGGTCATTCGGCCTGCCATCCCTCGAGCTGCTTTTGACGCGAATCGACGGTGCCAAACTCGATGCAGTGGTTCGAGTGACCTAAACTCGATCCAATTCCTCCTACATAACCTATAAATACCCCCCTTCCATTCCATCAAAACTCACACCACTCCATTCTTCTTCCTCTCTTCCTCCCACCACTCTTGAAGAAAAAAATATGCTCTGTAGTTGCGGCTAAGCCCGATCTTTCGCATCAATTTTTTTTTCTTTAGTTTGGTACTTCTATCACTTAAAATTGCCGAGATGGACCCGAGTATTTACAATCCTAGATTATACATTCAAGGCAGACCGCAAGAAACCGATTTGTTGGATGAGCAACCTTACCATCGGTCTGAAAGTGTTTGGGTGGCAGATCCGGTAAGCACTTCCTCATGTACTTTTCTTTTTTTAAATGTGATAGTATTCTTCTAATTTTTTTTTGTATAATAATTAATTTTTTTTAACAGGAATAACTTGACGTAATCATCCATCGGTCGCTATCTCGCTTGCCTAAATGGGATGATCGGATCGATCCCTACATTGAAAGAGCGCGATTGCTGAGGGTGCGAAAGTTTGTGGGGATGGATATGGACAACAACCTTCTTACGACAATGGTGGAAAGATAGAGAAAAGAAACACACACATTCCACCTTCTGGAGGGAGAGATGACGATTACGTTGAAGGACGTGGCCATGCTGATAGTGCTTCTAATCGATGGTGATGCAATAATAGAAAGTTCACGAAAACCATTGGTTGGGTCCAATTTATAAGCGAGCGTTTAGACAACAACATCCCCTAGGAAGCACCACAAGGTCATCGTGTACCACCTCTACACAAGTCTATGCTAGTGATACCTTGGCTAGTGAGGACCGTTGGAGAATTATCGGAGGATGCCACGGATGCTCAGATAGAGAGGTATGCTCGCATCTACCTGATTTGTTTGGTTGGAGGATTTTTGTTTCCGAACAAGTCTGGTGGAAATATGCATTGTATGTGGCTTCAAGTTCTTTTGGAAGATTGGGACGAGATTGTGAGAAAAGTTGGGGATATGCTTGTTTGGCGACGATATATTAGGAGTCGTGCAAGTGTACGGACCCGGGAAAAAAAAGCGGGTGGTCCCATGTTCATCCTCCAACTATGGGTTTGGGGAGCACCTTCCTATTTTCGCTCCGACCTGCCCTGCCAACAGTTGGGGTCCCGAAGAGCAACTACGGCAATGGGCTTATGGTGCTAGATGGATTGGAGCTATCACGAGACTCACCTCTCTAGACGGGTACCGCCAACATCTTGACCGTATAGAATTCAACGAGGTAACATTCTACCTTATGATTATGAATGCTAATTTATTTGTTGAAATTATTTGTCTTAGCCCATGATTCATTTTTATGATTACGAATCCTATTTTATTTGTTGAAATTATTTGTCTTAGCCCATGATTTATTTTTGTGATTACGAATCCTATTTTATTTGTTGAAATTATTTGTCTTAGCCCATGATTTATTTTTATGATTACGAATCCTATTTTATTTGTTGAAATTATTTGTCTTGGCCCATGATTTATTTTTATGGTTGTGAATCCTATTTTATTCGTTGAAATTATTTGGCTTGGCCCATGATTTATTTTCATGATTATGAATCCTATTTTATTTGTTGAAATTATTTGCACCGATTTTAATTTATTTGTTGTGTTGAAGCTTAGGTGGAGTGGGATCTGTATCCGAACGGAGAAATGATTTGTACGAGTTGCGATACCCTGAGGATCATCGACTCTGGTCGTGCAAGTTGCTTGTGATTTGCCACAACATTGTCGAGTGGCACCTCCAGAATAGATGTGCCCGACAATATAATTGGGCGCAACCGATTCCTTTTCCACCACCGGACGTACATAAGTCACTCCACAATACAACAAGGATCTGCGGGGTACAATCAGTGATTGGCCAACCAAGCACCATAAATGGTTTGATATCTGGGAGTCTCGTCAGACGTATGCAATTGATGGCATCCCAATGACGAGGCCAATGGGGTACCAAGATGAATACATGGTTTGGTACCGCAAGTTCACAAAAAGATGGGTAACCAAACGTGGTGTCGTGATCGGTTCGTTGGTAAGCACAATATCTATTTACTATAATCACTTTAGCTACACAAAGAGTGTTTTTCATGTTTATTATTTAGGTTGATGGGTTGGAACTTGCATCAATGACGTTGGAGAGTGAACCAGAACAAAATGTGCCACCTCATTCTAGAAGAAGCTCTTCAAGAATCTCTTGTCATGTTCGCGGGAAATTCGAAGCGATGTCATTGCATATCCTCCTGCACCTGCACCGCCACGTCCTTCCTCCCATGCCATTGAAGTTGAATCCCTCCCGCCATCGCCGCCAAGGAGGAGTAAACGTCGGCAAGAGCCAGTTACAGTCCCTGTGAAAGTACGAGAAGATGTCGCACTTCCTGACCCATACGAGTATGGATTCCCCCCGTCAGAAGGGAATTCGGAGAGGGATCATCAGCTTCTGCTCAAGGAGGGGGTGGAGGAGCCAACTATGCTCCCCTCGTATTATGGGTATCCCAATGTCGACCCTCAATTCCAAACCCCGCAGCAAAGCTTCCAGCCTCCGATGGCAAATGTTTATTATGGTCCTCCAGCCACTGCAACCCCACCTCCACTGCCACGAAATACTGGAATTGGATATGGAGTTCGTTCAAGGAATAGACGTCGAAGAGAGGGACGTGGACGTGGTGCACAAGAGTGAGCAGTGTGACTCGATCTACCCTTGATCGAGTTTTAATAACTCGTTCTACCCTTGATCGAGGTTTAAGAACTCGATCTACCCTTGATAGAGTTTTAATAACTAGATTATGTATTTGTTCGAGTTTTTCATCGTCAATCTCGCTTGTTGTTCGAGTTTATTGGACTCGAACCTTTGAAAATTTGGTAGTTTGGGAAAATTTTATAAATCTTATGTATTCTGGGAATTATTTTTAATTAATACTACATTCTGGGAATTAATCCCTTTGCATCGGTGGAAAAGATTTTGTGGCTGAAATCGAGCTCGTCGCAGCGGATCGCCTGGAGACGTTGGACATTGAGTCCTGGTGCCAGCTGAAGGCGGTATCTCCCAGTTCTGAGCGTCTTGCGAATTTTCGCAATGGATTGGTTTACGCAAGAGGAAATCGATGAGCTCGTTTCCAAGTTGCCCTCTCTTGAGTTTCTTTCTCTTAGGCTCCGTGATCCGAGAGGTGATTGGTCAGGAGGTCGGAGTAGAACGCGGAGAGTGAGGATTTCGGGGGCCTTCAAGCTTCGGGAGCTGCGGATGATTGATCGTCCATATTTCCCGAGTCTTCCAATCCAAGAGCTTGAGATTGAAGCTCCTAATCTGGCCAGCCTTCACTACCAGGTTTCATCTTGCTTCGATCTTCCGTGAAACATTAATGTCGTCAATGTGCGCTCCGATTGCCAATTATCCATTGATGTGCAGTACTCCTATTACTGTTACGTTAATGACACAGATTTCGAAATGAAGCACGAATGGTTCGTTAGGTTACGAAAGTTCCTCGCAACGTTGAACCAACGCAACGTGGTT